CATCATTACTGCGTGATGCGCGCCAAGAGAAGCCCAAGTTTGCAGTTCTACCTTTTATTGCACCGGTCAAATATCGTCCATCTACACCGGAAATTAAAACGCGCTTTTCTTTATTTTTTATTGGGTGTGTTCATTTGAAATCGAACACCCGTGTCGGAATGGGTATTTTAATTTGTCTAAGAAAAATACATGTAATAACCCCACTTCCGTAATAATAATAAAAAATGTTCCTCGAAATTCAAAGAAAAATTATTTCTTTTTACAAAAATTAAGTGGAGCAAGGGGTAATGCCACATTTCGGCGGCTTGGTTTTTGTACCCAGTTCTGTCATTTGTTATAAATTAATTAAAACAAAACAATTCACCGTAATATCTTATAGAAATGTTTGATGCGAGACCTATTTTTTTAGATCAAATTCACCTTTATTTGGTATTATTTATGATATAAATAAAACAGGTTTAACATTGTACCTTTGACGATTTAATGGCATATTTGAGCTTTGTATCTTAGGATTGCTCACAAATATTGCCTTATGAATACAGCACACCTACAGTCCTCTACATGGACTATCTACTGGTACCACTTTAGTATAACTTATTTTCGCAAAGTAATTTCTGTATATCTTTAATTCCATAAGAAATTAAGTTTAGTCATATTTTGAGCCCACTTTACTAAAAAAGGCAATTCGTTTTCTTTCTTTCTTTAGTATTTTGATATTATTTCCAGTGCAGGTCACCTATCTTTTGGCATAATCACATTTCCTCTTTTTTGTAGTATTTTCTGTAGAAGTGACCAAGCGCACATCCACGGACCCGAATACATAAAGATATGGTTTCGCAAGTTGGCTTTACTGAAAACTTTTATCGATAACTTACGCTCCCGTGCCCGGTCACTGACGCAACGCCCCGTTTGGCCAATGTAGGTTTTCCCACACGTGAGTAAAATCTGATACTCCACTGCTTTGGAGCATTCTCATATACCACTGCTGTAGAGCATGAGTTATTGATAAAAAGAAAATACGTATTTGCTTATGCATTGTGGAGCATGTATGTGTACGCCACAACTTCACAAGATCAAGAGCCAGGGCAGGAGTAAAGATGCTACAGCAAGAGAACTGATGGAAGCGTCTTATGTAAATAAGGGAAAATGACTGTGGTAGCAACAATTCGGTTTCTTTGTTTAACCGTTAATTACGATGGTTATCTGGGTTTATACAGTGATTTTGGCACGCCGGGAAGTTCTCTTAAGTTTTTTATGTGTTTTTTTTTTATTTTATTTTTCATTAGTAGCATGCTGCGCATGCTCCCTACGAATGTTTCGCAGTCGCTCGGCGAATAGAAATAGAAGTTCCGCTTGTCCTTGTCCACTTCCTGTTCGTCCTCTGTTTTGATACAAGTCTACTTTGTATGAACCAACTAGCCAAACAACAAGTCTCGCTACATATATTTTATTGAGTCAATTTAAAAATACCGCCCCCCCCCCCTCCCGGGCACGCCGGTTCGATTTCAAATGAAACCACACGTTTTGGATTATCATCGGCATTGCCGGACTAAGGGGATTGCTGCCGGACGTAATTCTTAGCCCCAAACAGTTAAGGCAAACTATCTTCCCACTGTCTAAGTCTCATACAAGACGTACAAGACATACAAAAAAAAAAACGTTTCACTTCTTTTTTTTTTTTTGTTATAAAGCACAACGTAATGCTATGTGTTCGTAGTTCGAATTTCAGGAGCCTCGAATGACAGGGTGATTCGACTCGTTAATAATTTATTTTCTTGTCCCACTCGCACTGTTTTTGTCGGACGCCGTAATATAACGGTATTAGAGCCAATCATCTTCCTCTTCCACGGTTGCCGCGATTCTGAAAGTCGGAATGAAGGACTCTATTTGCTGTGACGAAACGCTAATACGTAGTACGCTCTCTATATTCAGTTTCACAGATATCGCTCAGTGCTATTAAAGCCTCGATAGAAAGACCGTAACTTTTTGCTGACATGAGAACTAGAAAAGCACTCTTTGAAATCAAGTGCTGGCACCCTCAACTCCCACACAACAAAATGTTCGGTAAGGTACGTTGTTGGGCTAGTTCGTTCATCTTAGTAAAACATATAAAATAGCGCGACAGAAAACAAGGACAAGAAGTATACAGGCAGCGCCTGTCCTGTATACCTCTTGTCCTTGTTTTCTGTTGCGCTATTTTATATGTTTTACAAAATGTTCGGTTGAGCTAGTTGGTTCATGACTGGATAGATGCGCTGAAGGTCAGGGACAAAGTGAAGGAGGTAACGACAACATGGAGCGCACTCGCAACTGAAAGTTTATTAGAAACCCACTGACTTAAATACTTTAATAAAACCACGTCACTTCCAGCCCCCCCCCCCCCCCCCCACTCTCTCTCTCCGAAAACAGCATTTACTAATCTAACAGTATTACAGACGGCTCACTGATACACTTATCGGCGGCCCTGGTCTTGATGACGAACGCTTCGTGAATTTCACAAGATTTTTTTTTTTCCACTGTGTCGTCCTAGGATGATTATGTTTGAAAGCAAGGAGGTGTACGGGCATCGATCGCAATGCACGGCCAGATGTCCAAACGGCGTCTGTTTGATAGGTGCTGCGTGTTCTCTAGCACGATTATTTACTCAGAGGCCGTTTGCCCTATGTAGGTGCGCCCGCAAGATAGTGGAATATCATAGACGACAGAGCTAGGTTGCGCATTCCAAAAACTTATTTTTGTGCTTCGTTTTGCATTCTTCACTAACCCTCTCTGGAGCATTGATTATTTTGCACATTGACGAAAGCTTATTCGGGGCCGAAAGGAACCGGAACGTTGTAACGCCCTGCAACTTTTTTTTTTTTTTTGATTGTGGCAAACAGCATGAAGGTAGGTAATAATGGCCGGTCTTACTTTTTACCGTTCACGAATGTTCTGTGGAACACCGCTATACTTCCCTTTCAGACCCTCCGCCGTATCAGGCAGGGACTTCTGCAGAAAATCCGCATTTAATAGGCGATCGACCTGTAACAGGAAGCTCCTGCCCATTTCATGGTGACATGATCTCTTAAACGCAGCTCCGAGGCAGGATGTAGCGATACCTTTTTTTTACTAGTTTTGAATGGGCAAAATCGTACCGTATAACCCTTTTCTTCTCCTCTTTTTTTTTCTTTGTAGCGGGGTTTATAAGTTTAAAAGGTGTGATTGTCTGGAAACGTAGGTTTTAAATCTAGAAACTGCAACACCCCCCCCCCCCCTCCCCCTGAAGAGGCTTTCATGCTCCCATGCATGCATGGGAGCAGGCCGCAAAAACACCCATCAGTTCAACTACATCGATATCAGTGAGCTTCTTAGGTGGAAGTACGATGACCAAATAATCATCGACATATGAAAGAATCCTGAAAACGCTTTTATTTCCGAGTCTTTCAAGCTTGGACACAATGCGCTAAAAAAACCCACACAGTACAGGAGCTACTCTCGAACCAATACAAGTGCCCTGCCTTTGTACGTACACATCAGCACCGAAAGACATAACTGTATGTTCAAGTTAGAAAGACAAGAGTTGAGTGAAGCGTCCCACACTCACTAAACAACAACATTTCTGCATTCTTATTGACAGAGGTCGAAATCCTAACACCAGAGATGACTAGATTACTGACACCTCGTCGTGACGCTAGAGCTTTTTAAACTTTTATACTTATAGCACAATTCCCTTTGGGATTGTAAACAACAATATTTCTGCACCTTCATTATCATTGACAATTACAAAGGTCGAATTCAAAGTAATCGGAGATAACTAGATTAGTGATCCCTCGTCGTGACGCCAGCGCTTTACTTTTATATTTACAGTAAATTCCCTTTTCTTTATAACAATTCTCTCTTACTTCTCTTTGAAAACATTGAAACCTTTGGGGGGCGGTTTTATCGTTGTGCCATTCTATGCTGTTGCTAAATGAAATATGTCTTGTTCCCGTCCTCGTCCTCGTTGTTTTATACTTTCAAGCTTTGTATTTATTAACCAACACGCTCGTTTTCAATTGTAATCATATCGCAGGCGCTCCCCCCCCCCCCCCCCCCCCCGTTTCTCTACTGCTCTCAATTCATATGGTTACTGCACTAAAGAAAGCCTGATGTGGAACAGTGAAAATAAGATCTTCGACATCAATTGAGGAGGCATCACACCTCCCTCGAACTAGTCGCATTCTTCAAAATAATCTATCACCTCCTCCGAGACACGGACCAAAAACGCATCATGCAATTTCAGTGACGTCAGGTAAATTGCAAATGCTGCAAAAAGCTCTTGGGTTTGACGTTATACCGAAAACATAATAACAAAAAAAGTATATGATCTAAACATAAACAAACTAAACATTTCGAGCACAACAGAGATGCGTGTCTGCCAGGCATGCGGAGTTTGTAAAATATACGTTCGAAACAATCAACACACGTCACCATTTGAAGAAAAGAGCAGCCCGGTCACACGCCACCCGGCAACAAAGACTGATGACAGAGGTGATTACGTAACGCGAAACTGAGAAAACATCCTCGAGCGAGGCAACCCCGCCCCGGTCCCTGTCACCTCATCCGTGCAGCCTTTTCCACCCACCGGAACACAAACTCTTAATTTATTCTCCTCGCCGTCGGGCATCCCCTATAATAAGAGCCTCCTCTCTCGGAACAGTGGAACAGCCAAGTAGCACGTACTCAAATGCCGCCGCTGGACAAACACGGCGCGTTCCTTATACGGCACCGATTTGTGCTGATCAGTCCCACGGAGCTTCGTGTCAACAACAGCCGCAGGGTGGCACAGCATCTTTCAAAGGTCAGTCGGCGACCACTTCCTACGAAGACCAATTAGGCGGCAAACGTCGAACGGGAAGGTGCGGGACTTCTTCCGAAAGGTAACAAGCCGCCAGACCAGGGAACCGCAGAGCCTCGGGTCCCTGATCCGTCTGTGAGACCGCGCACGGGACAGGATTAGTCACGCCGGCAAGGTGCGCACCTCGGCGTTGCGCCGTCTCACTGACTTGTGTCCAGCACGAGCCGAGGACCAGAGGGCGCCGCTCGCTCGCCCCTCTCCGAAAATCCCCCAAAGAATCCAGCTGCCGACTCGGCGCCCGGGGCTGGACGCTCGCTTCGGCGGGGGAGCTCTCCCGAAAAAGCCCTCCACCGCCACCGCCGAGCGGGCCATAAGTACCGGGCAGCTCCTCCCTCAGGGGAGCACTGACCACATGAGGGGCAACCCCGATCTGTCCTTGTTCGACGGCCACTCCATTGGACGCTAGCCCTTCGTCACGTGACAGCTTCCTCTCGCAGGTCCCCCGCGACGAAGACACGCATCAGGGGGGAACCCACACCACCACGTTTCTTTCGCACCCCGAATGAGTCTAATTTGCCACTCGCTAAAGGGTTCTCGTTGACAGCGCGAGCTGCAGTTTTCAGACGTCTTCCTCAACGAAATGACACCCATGAATCAGTACGCCCTCGAGATGACCGCCAGCTTCGCTACCGGGGAATTCTCGGCACAGCAGAAGGACCAGTATCTGCAGCAGGAGATGCATCTCCGACTGCATGACGTGGACAGCGGAGTGGTCGATTTTCCGCAAAACAACTTCATCGGGATGCCTTGGAACGACCATCAGCACCACTTGGCGAACCCCGGCTTCGGCCCTGACCCGTACCAGGACGATGCGCGCTGCCGGGACGCGTACGGAACTTTCGCGGCTGACATCAAGGAAGAAGTGGCGAACGTGCCATACACGCCTTCTCCGTGGCAGTTCTCAACGTCCCCGTCGTCGACGTACCAACCGCCTTCGAGCCCCGATCTCGGACACGCGACACGGACGACACCTGAGCCGCTGGACAGCTGGACTCCGTACGCTCCCACTGCCGTCGTCACCGCAGTTACGGGCTTTTCCGCCGAGAACTGCACCGACCACGCCGGAACCTACGCCGCCCAAGAAAGCGCCAGAGTTCCGGACCCCGACAACGGTGGTGTCGGTGTCTCTGAGGCGATTGGCAAGACCGTGTTCCCGTGGATGCAACACACGAGGCCCCCGATCAAGTCCAGGGCGTCCCCGCTCCCAGGTACGAAACGGAGCGATCGGTTTACGGCTCGGGTGCCCCCCTCCCCGCGGCGACCCGCCGAGCGCGATACATAAATTTTGGGCTTCCCTCCGCCCCAGTTCGTTTCTCCCGAATGGCCGCCGCCGACCCGCGCCCTCCTCCTGGGGGCTCCGTTTCTGTATCTATGGCCACTTAAAAGGTGCTTCCCGGCTCCATTAGCGGCAGATAGTAATGATGAAGAGGGCAAAACCCGGTCGCGGTCCCATTTGTTAAAGCGCTTGTAAACGTTAGTGACCGGCGGTTGAAGGGTCGCGCAGGCTTTCACCCCTCCGCTCCTTCGTTCCCCCTCGGGGGCCCTTCCTTTTTTTACGACGTCTGGAAAGACAGTAGTCACGTGTGGAGGATCGCTTACTGCGGGGAGGCGAGAAAGCGCCACTGCCCCGCGAGCTGTCAGGAGCCGACCGGGGCTCGCTTATTAATGGACCCGGAACACGGATGCTTTTTCGAGCGGTCCGCTCGCTTACGGAGCTCGCGGACAACCCGGCAGGCTTGTGTATACATTCGGGCGGCGTTGATCAGTCGACGCTTCGACACGGTGTCGACGCCGTCGATAGCGACAGTCACTGTCGGTTTCAATGGATCTTATGCACTGGTGTTTCTCGAAACAGAGATTGATTGATTGATTGATTGATTGATTGATTGATTGATTGACAAGGCAGCCAAGGGCCCGCCGTATTGGTCAGGGGAAACAGAAGCACGTGAATTAGCATAAGGGGTAAACAAACGCACGAGATGCGCAAGGGTCAGACGAACTTGCACGCCGTATTGGAGAATAAACAATAGTTATGTAATTTCGGCGAGGAAATTGTTACAGTCGTAACTCTGCCTATTAGCTTCCGGAAAGCTTTTTCTTACAAAGTTCGTAAAAAATAATCACATCAACGTGAAGAATGATGCGGATATTAGTATAACCAGAAGGGATCATAGGTTATGTTTACATGAATGCGATCGTAGCGCATCGAATCGAGCAGGGACCAATCGCTAGCAGCCTGTCTTCCCACTTCTTCCTCTTCTATTTATCTGGTACCAATCAAAATAAACTAATTTCGATTCGATGCGCAGCGGTCGCATCCATGTAAACACAGCCATAGCTCCTTTAAGTTGTCCTTTCTACGCTGAGTTATCTTTGCTAACATTTAAAGTAGTAGTAGTAGAATAAAAATTTCCGAAATTTAGTTGATGTGCAATTCATGCTTTCCATCAATGCGTAGAAAACTAATGTGGCATCTGTCCTTTTTTTTTTTTACCTGCAATTGTTTATTTCCTAATGTCGAGCTCTCTCCGAAATTCTGGCCAATATTAATATATCTCGAAACCAGATTTAGAAATTTCGTATAACATTTCATATTTCACAGATCAGTTATCGTTATGCCAAGTTTCGGCTCGCAGGCTACTAAATAGTACGTCTTAAAAATACCCAGACAAATGCTTCTTCAGTTGTTTGTTACCAGCGTACACTGGATTTAGATCAACTGGAACTCCGAGCTCTGGTTGGAATGATTAGCGGTTAGACGCACCCACTATTCACTCCTACCAGAGCTCGACATTCTGACGTCTTCACGCTCTCTCATCTCCTCCCCGCCCTCGATTTCTTGGCGTACCGGCATGTTATTCCGATCACACTGGCATATTTCTGCCTACATTTTATTATCTCATCATTAGTATGTATTACCCTAAAATGATCCAACAGCCTGTCCCTCGCCGTGGACCGCGTGTCCGTATATTCGACAAATGTCAATTAGGCAATCGTCGCCCTTTTAAAATGGCTAAAACGTTCTCAAAGCTTCTTTCGGAGAAGCGTTTTCCTGTGCAGGAGCCGTATTTCCACCTCTCGGGTTCATAAACGGATTTGTTGGTAATCAATGTGTTGTTCGTTAGTAAGCGCGTCGGAGAAGAGCACGTACTCGTCATCGTAAATAATGCCAGAGAAAAGAAAACAAAAACACAAGGAGCTACACAATTAAGTTGTATCATCCTCTCCTGGTTTCTCTTAGTTCACTGCCCCTTACGAGTGCTGCGTATCCGTCAGGCGACCACGCCTGCGGAGGTGTGGAGTGCCGGCGTTTTGACGTAACACGGCGACGGCGGAACGGAGCTCCGCCGAGAGGCCATCCGTCACCTCGTTGGTCCATCCATCTCGAGCCCAGGATTGGGCCGAGGATCGCTCAGCGAGCCACTTAGGCTTGCCTCGCGATGGCCATCGAATCGACCGAGATCGCGGCGGCAAACTATAAGAGAGGTCGCTGTTGCTACAAAGCGTTACACCGCCTTTCTTATACATCTGTACGGGCTCGAAGCCACTAACGGTGTCCCCGGATTTAGGGTGAAGCGTGCTGATAGATGGTGATATATAGTGCACGCGCACCGCCCCTGATGGATACAAGAGATGTAATAGTAAAAAGGAAAAAAAAACGAGGGTTTGAAAGGGTGCTGGCTCTGCCGGGTCACACGGCGGAAAACATGAGGTATATGGCCAAAATAAGTTAGACGATTACGTCGGTTGGTATGTGTGCCTCTGTTTCTGATGTTTAATTGATTGCTTTTAAATGTAAAGCTTCCACAGCGTACACAAACTGGCCAATTTTTTCGACAAAATGAGCATTATTTAGCCATTAGGACTACTCCCCCGCCCCCCCCCCCCCCCCCCCAAACGCAGACTAAATCACTTGAAACCTTACTTTGGTGGAATCGTGTGACCTATACAGCCATCCAGTTTCTCCGCTAAATATATAGGGAGAATATACGTCACAGGATGCACCGATTCCCTCACCAATTCTCTATGAGGCATCATGCATTTCATGCATTATAGCACCCCGAAAATCAATATCGCTGCCATTTTTTGTTTCATACTTTGCTTTGGTATTTCTAAAATTTCCAGACTACTGAAAAAAAAAACTCACAAAAAAGAAACAAACATGTTCGCTACGCATAATGGTTTGTTCCTCTCGAATAAAGCGTATAATGTAAGCAAGAAAATATATGTAGAGGGAGCAAGTAAAAAACATATATTTTGATGCTTCACATGAACTTATAGTTTGTTTGTTGTTGTTGTCTTTTTTCGTTTTTTTTTTCTTCGTTGAAAGGTGAGCCTAATACATATTTTGTTCTCATGTGATTCCTTTTAGGATTTGTCCTTTTCTTGACTGTTAAGAAACTGACCCTTCCTCTGAGGAACAGATGGCTGGAATGTGAATGCGGTTTTCTGCTTAACGATGTACGCTTGGCCTGCCAACAGCCATTAGAACTAATATTTCTCGCAGCCTAGCGCCGGGGCGTGGGGGCCGTTTAATGAATTCTCTCGAGGACACAAAATGAAGGAAAAGGAAAGCCGTTTTGAAGCTTAGAAAAAAAAAAAAAATAATGTGTACTTTTGCATCCATATTTTCGCAATGTTAAAAAAAAAAAAAGTCCAATAACTAAAAGTTAATAGGAATTTTATGTCTGCTGGGGAGACGTTTGCGAAACACTGTGTTTAGGAATTATGCTATACATATATTTTATTGTCCTTTCTTCGCGCGTGTAAGGTACGCACTACGACTCAAGCTCATTCGTTTTATTTTTAATTATCTTATTTTTATATCTTCCTGATCCCTCAAACGTGTAAAACAGTCTAAATCTTCCAGTAGATTTCTTTTCCCCTTCGGGTTGCATGGGTATGTTACCTGGGTATGTTACGAACCAAATGAAAATATTATTAAATTCCAGCACTACCAAAATTTACGATTTAGGTCACCATATCCGTAGTGCTCTTGTTACTTACACCCACAGTTCCGATATCTTCAATATTCGTTAGTTGAATTAACTTCAACGCAAAATGCACCGCATATTAGAAACACGTACTCCGTCGCAAAAATAAATAAATCTAAAAACCTAGAACAATGGGGGTCAAGAGACTATGCCGAATTCTCGCACACTTACAAAGAAAGAAACAAAAAATAACTGGCTACGCTAAACGAGAAGTATCTGATTCTTCTGCATAAAAGAAGGCAACTTGAAAGTCGCGCTCACACATCAATATAAAGCAGAAAAACAAAATACAACATATTATCCCCCCCCCCCCCCAAAAAAAAAAAAGAACGTGTGTTTATTTATGATATTCTTGAAACAAAGAGGAACAGCTTCAGTGGCGAAAGATGAAATTGAATTAAAACCGGAGGCGGTGCGGAAGCACGCCGAGAGGAACGCGATACGATCTGCAAGCCGCGCGGGTTTAACGAGGTAAACAAGCCGGAACGAGATCGTCCCTTTGGAATGCCCAAGTCGAGAGGCATTCTCTCGCTATTCGACGCCTTCACGTTTCTTTCCAAAATTATCTCTCTTTCTTTTTCACTCGGTATTCCCCTTGCTCTGGGTATACTCGGTTTTAACTTACGATGGACTGGAACGAACGCCACGAACGAGCCCTCATTTCATTTCATTTCGTTTATTTTACTTTAAACGCATCTGGCGGTGCATTTCATGAGGGTGAATGGAAGACAGTAGGAGTCCTGATATTTTATATACATATCATAACAATTATAACAAGCGATATACTTTATATATATAAGAATGGTAACAATGGTTCTGCCAATACTAAAAATATAATGACGCTAAATAATACGAATTATGAAACTTAAATAGATATACCCTTTTCACGACAGAGTGCACCCTCAAATAGCGCAATAGAAACAAACATCCAAGGTATAAAAGTAATCGAGGATATAGCGAGTCAACGAAGAAGCTATTCGCAGCTTAGATTTAGACAATATCGAAGCCAATCGAAGCCGGAGTGATTGTCACGTGACTTTACCACTGGGCACTTCGACGCACGGGAAGTGAGGTCACGTGATGGGCTTACGGCGTTGGGTTGGACGAGATGGCCACTTGTAAACTCCACTGCGGTCCATGTTAGGTGAAACAGGGCATGGTGAACCCCCTTTTTTTTAACGGCTGCCTTGGCGAATGACGCATTCATCTTTGTCCCCTTTTTAACGACTGGTGGAGCTGCGCAGTTCACTCCGCTGGAATTCGGAAAATGAAAACCGCGCCCGGTGTGCGCCGGGTAAGACAATGTTCTCGTTTGCTGACGAGTGCATGCCTGGCACGCCAGCGTATGTATGGAACTCGCAGTTCACAGTGCCGGCGTCATGCGTCTACTTCGCGTTAATTGGGAAGCCTTTTTTTTTTTTTTGATCGGCGTAATTGGGGCTCTGTGCGCAACGCTGTTTTATTACGGGCGTAACGTCTAGATAAGTCACACGACGAAAGAGTAGAATGTTGTAACGCACGTCGAGTGTTGTGTCGTACACGAAGTTGGACGAGTCGTCAAATTCCACGTAGCTTCGACGTTGTCGCCCAGAGTGACAGTCCTCTATATTCGGAGAATTTTAATGAAATTTGGATTCGAATAGGATTGTGCTGTATGCAATTTGCATAGCAAGAAAAAAAAAAGAAGAAAAAGTGGGAACTTTTGTTTGCCAGTTTTATTTGCCAGTTTGTAACTTCGCGTATATACTCCTAAAAAAATAATGCTTTATTTTATTACGTGCTTATTTATCAGTCCTCCCTGGCTGTTGCATTAAAGCACACAACTATATGAATTCGTATCTTCTTTCACCAATTAGGTGCATTAATAAATGCACCTAATTCAAAATCATCCGCAGTATAGTATGCCATCTGGTCTTGTTTCGTCGCATATGTTTTAAAATCTAAAAATGAAGTTTCAGTTGTGGCACTGAGAATAACGCAGTCATGTGAAACGTCGTCCTTCACTTCTAGAAAAAGAAAATCTTTCCTCTTGCCTCATCATTCATTTAGGTCTAGATGCTTCTGTAGGTTCTAGAGATTATCTTTACAAGTCCCCGACAGGGAGCTGGAACCACGAATATTTTAAACCTATTCGTAGAAAAAAAAAAGACTTTATTACAATGTATAGTTGTATTAATATTCTTATCATCATCATGTCGTGCTCAATCGATATGGTACAGTTCCAACTCTGAAACAGATTTTGTTTTACATATATAAGGTGAAATAGTCTAAAAATTTCTCATGAATTTTACTTAAACGTACGGGCGAAGTTTCGTTTTTGAATTTTTCCCCTTGCTCTCGCAAAAAGTAAAAAAAAAAACGTCATTGAGTGTTAGCTAATGTTTTTCCCAGTTCATAGAAATAAAACCCATCCTCGTGACTCGCCCGTGCTGACTGGTCACCACACGAGAAATATCAGCAAAAGGAGAATCTAACCTGTGAGCTGGTTCGAAAACGTCCTTCATAATTTAGATTATGAAAAAAGCATGTTCTCCAATGCGGGTTTTGAACGCGCCTTGAATTTCGACTACTGACTCTGAAAACCGAAGCCGAAATCATTTCTGTCGAGAAGGACGAGGTTGCCGCTAGAATACGGCGCTTCATTGTTTCCAAAAAAAGGGTTTCGTCACCACGCACAGCGACTTCGGCGGCCCGTCGTCGGAAGGCTCGAAAGAAAAGTTCCCGAGACCCGAGGACGGAGAGCGCGCGCAAGAGATGAAACTGATTCGTTACGGCCACCCCCCACTCGGAGAACGAGAGCAGGGATTTATCTGCGATAGCCTAATGAAAACAAAGGACTCCTTTCTCAAGAAGATTAGGCGAAAGCACAAGCTCTACCACTGCCACGCCGGAAGATAAATTTGCCGAGGGAAATGGAATTAAAGGAAGAGGAAGGGGACGCTGCTGGCGTTGTCCTGCGGTCTGCGTCGCTCAGCGCTTCTTCCCCATGCTTCCCCTCCCTTTCCAGCGTCCTTCGGGGACCATGTTGTCTGGTGGGCCGCCAAACCAGTCAACCCCTTGCCTGATGCTGCTTGCTGCGAGGCCTCCGACAGCGGACGGCCGTAGTCGAGTTTTAGGTAATCGGATTAACCGAATATGCTCTCAAAGCAAGTCCGGAACGGCGAGTAATGCGGTTGTCTGCAGAGCTCTTTGGAGGCAGCCGGAGCAAATGGGGGAATGGGTGCATGCGGATTCGGCTGAAACGCTTGCCACTCGGCTCGCCGGCTCTGCGCGCGCGATCGTGTCCGTGGAAGGGAGCGGGAGAAACGTTGTTGGGCAACTCAGCACCGAGGACTCGCGCTCTGGTGAGGTGACTTGTGATTTTAAAACTAAGAGAGCGGAGCTGGAACACGCCTGGGAATTTAACTGATAAAAGTAGCTGCGGCGATGACTTGCTGAGATGGAGAAAGCGTTTTTAAATTGCTCTCCCCAGAAAAATAAAATGATAATAATAATTTATTATTAATTTTTTTCCCTCCCTATTTGACACTTATGCGATCCTACCAAGTTTGTATTTAGCTAACCTCGTGTATGGGCATTTTACGTGGAATATCTGAAAATAATGTAGATAACGATTTCAGGTTGGGATGAATACAAGTGGCAATAATATCAAGTGCGAGATTAACAAACCATATCGATACAAATTTGCATAGAATATATCGATTTAATTAAGGTACCTATTTGACGTTGAAGTGAGGTTAATCGTTCGTAAAATACTACATGCACTTGAAATGCGATGAAACTGCTAGAAAAACGTTGCGGAGAAGATCGTACTACGGTTTCAAATTCGATACTTCTTGCGCCACTAGGTGCCGTGGTAAATGTTAGTGTTGTCTGATTGGCCCCTAGATATATTAGTTATACATATTTGTGTCTTCAACTCCTTACCCTACTTGACCATATGAAGAGAAAGCAGACTCGTGACTTCACACTGGGAAATAAAACAGTTCCCCATTGGGTCCTTTTTCGCGTGTTTCATTTCATTGGACGATTAAAAGTATCGACAGCCTCAATGAAGAACGATGATCAGGTCGTTTCGAGCTTGTGAACAAGAAAACAGCACAATATTAAGTACAAAACAGCCCAGACAAGCCGAGACAATTCGCGCCCTTATAGGGCCAAAAACCCCCTTTGTGTCTTTTTCCGGAAGCCATCTCAGCGTGCCCTGCGTCGTTAAAAGCTGACACTCTCCGGTAACAACTTCATCGTTGTCGGTGCTACGGGCCAGAAACACAAGCGCGTGGCCCTCTCTCCCCGTGAGCCCCGCAGTTCCCCCGGGCCCGCAGCTTTAATCGCAACCATACAAAACACAAGCGCTTCTAATTAAAGTTTCTTGTACGAAATGAGTTGCCCTGCCTGATACGTCTCTGGAGATGCCGGCCGATGTTAGGCAGTCTCGAAACATACGGCATAATGGCGTTTCGCTGTTCGGCGGGCGGGGCAAGCGACGAGCAAGGCCGGCACTCGGGCCCCTCTCCAAGAAGAAAATTTAAACCGGGACGCCGAAAGAACCGGTGAAAAAATAAATTAATAAAAAAAAAAATAAAGTGCCGCGCTTCCAATGACAAACCGGAGCTCAATTAAAAGAAAGAAGGAAGCCGAGAAGAGAAAGTGCTCTCTCGCGAATTTAGAATTAGGAGAACAAGCGGAGGCGAGGGAGGAGAAACGAAAAGAGGGAGGGAGGAAGGAGTCGTCCAGGAATCTAGGGTAGACTATGCGACGTGTGCCAATTAGCGAGAGCCAGTTAAAAACTAGCATGGGCACCTGCTACGCCCAACCTGCAGGATCTTAATCAACCGGAGGACGATTAGGGACGAACAGGCAGCCCTGGTCGGGAATGACCGGCGCGATATCTAATGCTCCGGACCTGACACGGCGTCAGAGTCTTAGAAAACGCGAAGCCGAGCTCTGACTCGACGCTAGAGTCGAACTGCATAATTAAGCCATCTGCCCTGAATAAGCAATAGGTATCAGTTTCTCCTAATGAATTCGTGCTTTTTTTACTCGGGACTCTTTGGTTCATCGCCGTCTTTAAAGAGGGTTAAATGTTCTCCGGGATTTTACTTTTGCTGTTGCGTTTCCGCCAGTGCACCCTATAGCTGTCCCTATTGCCCTGGTGGGACATCGTTTTACAAAAGAAAACGAGTGAGTTATTATATATCTAGTTAATAACAGTATGGTTTTGATAACATCATATTTGAATCCCGTGATACCGATATTTCTCAAGATCCACACAAATCGCATTCTGTGTTTTACACGCCCCAGATGCGAAAAGTTCATCATTCGCTGGGAAAAGTCCAGTCAACGTCCCTTGTGCCATATTAGCAGGCATATACGAGCAAAGTTTGTCACACACGAAAACAAGCACTGATTGTCTGAAGAGACAAGTTGATTATATTTTTTTTCTCCACCTCAACACAGCAAAAACCTTTTCAAGACGCCTAGTGCAAAGATGATAGGTTTGTCGTTCCATGAGTGGCCCTTCAAATACTGTACACCACTAAAATATTCCTAGGTACCGTTGCTACCATACTTTCAATCATTTAAAAATACCTGAAGCGGTAATCGCTGATTCATCCGTACTCCATCAATCTTCACGAGGAAGTATATTTAAATCCAGTCACCCCTCTCGCACCCCGTTACACATTAATATCTCTTAAATGAATGTACCTTTGTTTCTTTTTTTTTGCAGATCCTGCTGTCAACAGTGATACCAACCCTCTCAAGCGACCCCGAACCGCCTACACGACCTCGCAGCTCCTCGAACTGGAGAAGGAATTCCACTTCAACCGATACCTGTGCCGACCCCGGCGCATAGAGATGGCCGCCTATCTCAACCTCACGGAACGGCAGATCAAAATCTGGTTCCAGAACAGGCGGATGAAGTTCAAGAAGGAGCAGCGTGCCAAGGGCATCAAGACCGACGACGCGATGGGGCTCACTGCCGGGGGAGCACCGTGCGACCTCACATCTTCCCCCACCTCTTCGTCGTCGCCCGGCTCGCCGTCGCTCGGAGCCGTGACGCCGCGTCACAACTGTTTGGGCCACGCGTCCGTGTCGGCGGCCGTGCCCAGTGTACCGCTCACGCAGAGCCAAGACTCCGATACGCGGTACCAGGACAAACCGGCGGATATACTCCGCCTTCCCACGTCGGGCGAGTACGGGAGGCATGTTTGTTCGAGGCACTCTCACCCGGAAGGACACGCTGGGAAGAGGGTTTACAACGTCCCCTACTCTGGAGACAACAGCCTTCTCAGGCTCGCTCTCGCCGACCCGTTTTCGGAAGACGTCCGAAGTCAGTCCGTGCAGGGTTCCGCAAGCCTGCAGAGGTCCATCGGCGTGAGGGAGTACTGGGATCCCTCTCAGTCTAATCCGTACAGTGTCAACCCGTTGCCCGTGATCCACTGAAACTATTGGTGCCTATGGTGGTTGGAAAAATTTGAAAGTGAAAAACTCGAGCTTCGTCGACGTCTCAGTTGCTCGACTCACGGACTTGTGTGAACAGTGAAAAGTGCAGAGCACCTTGAGATTTGTTAACCCGTCCTGCTTTTGGAAGAACGATTGTAAGGACATGTGTGGATACATGATACCACGGGCATTTATTGATTGGCTGTTGAAATTTAGTAATGGTACTTGGTGTGATGAGACAGGCAATGTCGTCATTAAAGCGAAAAACAGTTCATCGATGTCTCAGATGCTCGACTCACGGGCTCGTGTGGAGAGTGAACAGTGCCGAACAACCCAAGATATGTTAACCCTTCCTGACGTTGTAAGAACGATTATAGGGGCATGTGTGGATACATGATACCACGTGGCCTTTTGTGATCGGCTGTTGTAATTTAGTGATCACACTGAGTGTGGCGAAACAGGCTATCTCGTCAATGTCCTATTTCGCGCGTGTTCATTGAATAGATTACTCGACATTATCTTATCTTAACCAAGGACCATTCCACTGCATTTTTGGGTAAAAACGGAACTGAGAAGTCAGGTGCCCATTGTAATGTTTGTTTTGTATTGTGATACGCACCTGGAACCAATCAAACTTTATGTCCATGCTCATATTTTTTTTGCAGATTCTAAGGCCGGAAAAGGTCGTTAGGGTGCACACTACGTTTCAGCATTGTTATTCCTTCATGGTGAAATGCAAACTATGATCATGTTTCTTTTTTTTTTTACTCAATCTGAGTTAAAGAAACGTTTTCGTGTCGATATACTTTTATGAACCTTTTCCCAGGAGTCATCTGATATATTTGAAAGTATATTGAATACACAGTTGCTCGAGGGATTGATATACTTTATCAGACATCAGAACTGTTTTCAGTCGCAGTCTACGGTATTTGTTTTTTGTATATAGTCAATGCATTTTTTTATCAAGGCAAAGTTGGTAATAACAGGGTAAGCAAAGACATTATTATTTTGATATGTATTTCCGACGAGGTGATATTATTCAAGACACTTATACTGCACCGTGAAAGCGTCGAGTCCAATCTACTTGGTTGTTTTTGTCTAGTTGATGGAGTGTTTGCATTCGGAATTTATGGATGGCGTAAAAATGCTGCCTATCACTTTTAACACCGAGACCAGCTAAGTACTAATTTAACTTTTTTTTTCAAGAAAAGTTCATAATTTGTTTTAAGTGACATTTATAATGCTAGTGACGGGCGTCCTACCATCATAGGCACCTGTAGCGTACATTTAACACCTTAAGTACGCGTAGATATTTTACACCGAAAATGCTCAGTAGAAGCATCCTTACATCGGTAGCCATTTCGTGAGTCCGGCATTGATTTTATGAACCGATGCAGCCAGCGTTCTGTTTTCCGATCTTCAGGCATGTTTTTTTTAATTGGTTGTATGGCCGCGATACTATGTATCCCGACGACACATTAACTGCCCATCCCCCCTTCCCCCCGAAAAACAACAACAAGAGACAACAACCATTAAGGTAATTATTTTTTATGTACACTGTGAGAATCTGCAATCATTCCTTTAATCAGTCAACAGAGGACAAAGAAGAAAGAAAGCGGTATGAATGTGTTTCACAGGGTACTTGTCGTCGAAAGTATATATATTTGTTTTATTTCTGTTATTTTCATCTACTTTTCACGCTTTAATCTATCATTTTTCACAGAGTGAAAAAGTTTTCAGGCCTTCTAGAGAGTATGCATATTGTGTGTTACTGGGGCAATAAAATGTGACTCTCGTATTCTCGTGTAACATGTGTGTAATCGAACTTCATCTCTGTACACTCAAAAAAACCTGTAATGTCTACTTTCCCTCGATACTTTTGAGAGCTCCATTCGCCGCAATCTACAAAAAGTGCTTGGACGAATATGACAAAGCTAGAAATACGTTTAGACATAAAAAAGTGCCTGCGTGACGGCACTGAGCATGGGGACATATCACGCTGCAGCTGAACGCCGCAGATATTATTATTTTTTTTTTAAGGTTTAAGCATGTTTTGAACTTCGTCATCCGTTAAGCTCTCTACTCAGATTTCAGCCATTGACTTCCCCGAGTGCTTCGAGCAAAAGCAGACGTTCCAAATGTTTTCGAGTGTAGAGACGTAGGTTCATACGTCCCTTTTCACGCCGCAAATGATGTATGTTCGTTTGTTGTACTCGAAACTGATCTGAAGTAGTTGCGGAAGTCGAAGGGTGACGAAACTCGAAGGCTTTGAATTCTGTAACAAAGACAGCCATCAAACCATTAGCGAGTTTCAGACGCTGTCTGGTCACTTTCTTCTGCCCCTTTCGCAATCATCGAAACATACGGGATGTACTTGGATCACTAACTAAAAATTAAGCACTTCAAACTATTAAAACTATATTATAGTCACTGCACACGACGGCTGGGCCCATTCAGGTGAGCGGGGTGGGGGAGCAAGCGCAGATACCGCTACTGGGAAACATTTGAAATAAAGTTATGAATACGGACGAACAAAGTGGCGTAGGTACACCGCGGACGACAACATTAAAAAACTTCGTTTTTTATAATGGTTCATTCAGGGTGTTGACAGCTGTTTGTGATCGCGCATTTTAGGGGAAATAAACCGGGCAGCTTTGGGGAGCTTGTTACACTGCACTCGTCGAACGAGTTCGAATGCAAAAACCCAAACGCCCGACGTCTGCGTTTCGCGTTCGAATACGACATTCGAACGCGGAACGCGCAGTGGAGACGAAGGCAGCTAGTTAGCTTTGCCGTCTTCTCACCGATCATTCCAACCAGAGCTCGGAGTTCTGCCGTTTGAACGAACTTCACTAAAGACAGTTCTAGTTCAAATTGTATACTTTCCACGACCCGCCGTCAATGTCCCGTAACGTTCCACAACGCAAAAACACAAGTAGGCCAATATACTGAAAAAAAAACCGCAAAAAAGAACGCCGGAAGGAACATTTCACCAGTCTTGGCGGTAACGCGTTACAGGTAACGGTGTTACCGGTAGGGTGTTGATTTCTTTGCAGTAACGCGTAACGTACTCGTTACATTTCAAAAACAGTTACGGGTAGCGTACTTGCGTTAGTTATTTCGAGTGATGGGAAACGTAGTAAACGCTTCTCGTTACATATTCTTCCCAAAACTTGAAAAAATAACACTTTTTTTTTTCGTGTTTCTAAGCGCCAAGTTATGTGAGTTGTTGGCGTTTTTCTTACCGTTTTTTTTTGTTTTTTTTTTGAGTAATTAGATAAAACCGTGAAAAAAATGTTCAGTCTCTGGATGGTAAATAATGTTTCTGGAAATATGGCGCTTATGCATACCTCTAACGTCAAAACAGTAAACGTGTTAATTCATAATCCATGCAAACGTAACGTTGGTTACATCTTGTTGATAAAAGTAACGGTAATACGGTCCTTTCATCTTGAAGTAAGGTAAGTCGATAACCCGTTTCTTTTGTTTGCAAGTAACGAGTAACGGATTTCGTTACATCTTTGGTCGGTAACTCCTACAACACTGCATTTAGCCGATCGATAAAGTGCTGCCATGGACACTAAACATAATCTGGCGAAATTCAGTACTTAAAGAAGCGAGGACAGAGCAGTATCCTCGTTTTTTAACCTGGTGTTATGGGTAGCCTACTGACTAGCGCATTTTTGCACTGTGCATGATGCTTCACAGGTGGTCGTCATGTTTAGTAGAACAAAACAAATGTACGTTTTACATCAACATTCTTTTTTTCTACTCACTACTCAAAGGAATTCCACAATGCAGATCATAGGGATAGGCTCTCCAGGTGTTTTGCGGGAGAGCAAACTCACGAGCTTTTTCTCGAGCCTAGGTAAAGGTCTAGTGAGTGCAGAGGTTTCCAAGCATGTGTGACCTTCAAGCGTTGCATAAGACCTGCAGCATCACTTTTCTCATTTACCGGGGTTAGCGAGGGCGGGCTATGTATCCCGGAAGCCCTAGAAAGCTATACCCTAACCCCAAAGGGAGTACTATCGGCGGTCTCCGATTATAAGGCTTGACGCGAGGCACCCGCACAAAATACAAAAAATAATGCAGCACGATGTCTAGTTTGTTTGTTGGGAATACGCCAGACTGCAAACATCCAGTTTGCTTCATTTCACGAAAGTAAAAATGTAAGCGGACAAATAGAGGAGTGCTAAAAAAGACAGGTATTTTTATTGATTTATTAAGAACACTCCCGGCCAGGTTGCCTGGCCAAAGCATACTGGAGGTTACAACAGCCGAGCCGCAATAGGCTACTAGATAAATGCACGCGATGCAAAAACACGCACATTCCCGTAAACAAACTTAGAAGTTGTCGACATGGCTAGTCACTTGAAGTAACAAGAAATTTGTCTAGTATCCAGCGGAAGAGTCAAGCGTAGCGGCGAAAAAATCGAGCATAACCCATTCCTGAAAATCGGGGTGGCTCACGAACGATATCCAACGATTTTTAAGCTGGTGCGTGCAAACGTCCCATAGAACATAAGGTATAAATGTATTTTGACTTCTAAGTCTTTCGATCGCGTCCAAATGAATCTATCTATTTATCCTAGTACACATCCATTGAAAAGAGAAGGTACAGATATGATCCATTTGTATATTGACGGGACATTTCACTTCTTTACATGAAAGTGTTCTATTCCACGATAGGTTAAACAAATATATCCCTCATGTGCTTTCTTTATAATTAATTCACCTCTGATAAGGAATCGCAAATGCAAAAATTATACATTTAAAAACATTACTTCTAAAGAGACCGCTCTATTTTGGTTGCAGATGTAGTGGGTGGGGGGCGTTTCAAAAGCTTTTTGGCGGGGCGCGGAGCCGTTTTTGGAGGCCATGCACTAACATAGCGGTTCACTGAACTCCGCGTTGTCGAGTAACGGTTCCTCTTGTTCGAATGTCAGCCTGTGAATAATCAGAAGGTCAAACGCAGTGTGTTTTTATTAAACTTTGCTTTGGTGTAGTTTTCGGTCTCAACGTGTGGTGACACTTATTTCTAGGAATTTTCACCTGCATTCAGTCAAGTAATCCCCCGCGGGGTCTGGACAACTGGAAGCCTCAACACAGAGGAGCCTGCAACTCGTTAGGATGCGAGGGCATTGACCGCTGTCTGTTGCTCTGCATTCGGCTTAACTGTACTCCGTTGACCCGACGGCAGCAGCAGTGCGGTGGAAGCTACGTCCTCGTTGGACCAATCATACGCCAGTCTTCCGCCACGTGATCACGCTCCTTCCCGTACTTATACATAAAGGGCGGGGTAAGGTGGCAAAAGGGAAGCGGTGATTGGCCCGACGAGAGCGTATACCTTCCACCGCACTGTTAACTAAGGGTGAGTGGAGTACGATCCGAAGACAGTTGACGCGAGAACGAGCCCGAAGACGCGTTTCCAAGTGGTGCTTTAACCGCTAAAACCTCTTGACCCTCGCATGCTGACCGACCAAAGTGGTTTGCCCTTGGTTATCATCTCTAGGCTTCCCCGATTAGGGAGAGTGCCGACGCGGGCCGCCGCGGCGGGACACCGCAGGAGCCGTGAAGTGCGATGTTGTCGGGGCATGGGATTCATTACTCACGGCCGCGTTGGACGCACATGTTCTCGGAGGAAAGCGCTCGGTCCCGCTGCGCCGGCACCAAGGAGGATGTGGCATGCGTGGGGAGAGTGCTTCGTGCCGAGGCGAGTTTTAAATCGGTCCCGACTACATGCATGCACGGTTCCGATCCGCGTTAAACGTGCTAATCTGGAAAAGCGCGCCGCGTCGTTCTTGAGCAAACACTCAGCTCATGCGAGCTCCCTTACTATTTGTTTAGGGGATATCGAAAATAAAAGTAAATATAAGATCGTGAGGAATTACGAGACATGCACAGCCAAGTTTGCTCTTTTTAATAAGAAATCGGCAATTTTGGGGCTTTTAGTTTTTGTCCAAGATTTGAACTGTAACTGGGCGCTAGGATTTTTTTTTCTGCGCGATAACTTTTGTATTTGATTTTGCTTTGTTGCTTAAAAAGTACTTTACTCATCAACAAGCGCTTTCGATGAACTCGGGTTTTAATAGCACCGGTGATGATTTCAACTGACGAGTGGGAGTAAGACATCTTCAGATACTTCTCCTACAACGTAGCCTGTTAACTGATAACATTTACATTGATTATTGCTACT